ATATATATATATATATATATATATATATATATATATATATATATATATATATAAATATAAGCATTTATTCTGCATTGGCGTCGTAATGTCTAAATCCGTATATATTTATGCCAGCCAATCAGCTTTAGAGGTTCTCTATTAAAAGGAGACGACATTCGAGAAGATTCCAGACGTTCGAGAAATGTGGAATCGTAAATGTATAACTTTTCATAACTTTTTCATATAACTTATATAATTTGTGTACTAAGAAAATAGTTATAGTAATAATGCGACAATAAGAAATAAAAGGTAAGTAATCGTCGTAAAATTTTAATGCAATTGTATTTAATTGTAAATATTGTATCTATCTCTGTCCTTCTCTCTTTCTTTTTTTTCTCTATTTCATTGTGCGTGTTATTAGTGAAGGTACTTGTGTGCAACATTTCGAAATCTCGTTTCTGCCAATTAAACTCAAAACTCGGACGCGCCGCAAGGAGAACGAATTCTTCAGTTGGTCAATATATGAATCCATACGGTGCTATATGTATCGCGTTTTTATATACTTCTTGAGAAATGCGCAAGTTACATTGACCATTTTTCTTCAAGATTATCTATTTAAATCTTAACGATCTTTGTTTTTACTGCTTCCGCAAATATTTACATGGTATAACGTTCAGAGTGACGAGAAAACTTCTTCCGTTGAAAGTGAATCGATTCGCTCGAATCGTCATCGCGAGCCGTCCTTATTTTTTCAACCTAATAATTCTGTTTCTGCACGGGAAATTCTATTCGCTACGTTTTACCCTCCTTTACGAAATCGGCTTGAATACATTTTTCTCGATGAAGTTAGGGGCGCATTTGATGATCACAATTGTGCGTCACTGCTTTCATGAGTTCGCATGTGATAATCTGTTATCAGAGGCCGGCAGTAGATAAATACTCAGATATTTAATAAATATGAACTTAATAAAGACAAACACGATTTTTTTCGCTACAGTTAATTAATTAACTTATGTTACAGCTACATGTATTCAGGCAGGACGCGTTGCTGACCCCGAATTAGTCCTCAGGGAAATCTATCCAACGCAATCACACTCACGTGTTGGATAGTTTCGCCTGAGATGCGAGATACTTGTGTAACTTTAGTGTCACTTGTGTGTTATTTGTGACACAAGACTGAGATCAGTCCGCTATATTACCACACAATTTACACAAACAATTTTTAGTCCTTTCGCGCAGGGTCAGATGTCGTCCGTTGATTAAACCCCAGCCACGACCACTAACTCTTCGCCAGCGTTCATTGTTCCCGCTGTAGATCAGGAACTTGTGGCTAGGGTAATCTTTAGGACTGATTGCCCATCGACACTATGTCGGAACTCGTCAATTGTTCATCAAAATTTTGGACCAATTCCGAATACGATATGCTTTTTTTAATCGAATGCATCTCGTTATCTCGGCAATCAATTAGTCCTCTAGTCCTTGATGCGGTAACAGAGGAGTTGCGGCACATTCACTGGTTTAATTTTGTTTCTCGATGATAATCGAGATAACTATTCCCAGCGAATCGATACTGTCAGACACGTACCGCGATGACACGTATCAGATAACACCGATCACAACTATCAAGTGAGTAGTATTTGATATTAGTAATAAGATAAATTGAATAAACGAGGAGTTAGTATGAGAATTAAATCGTTGTTCTTAGATTATACTAAGGCGCAGATTATTCTAACGTGTAAAGGAATATGTTTATAATTCGACGCGTTTGAGCATCTCGGTCTTCGCAAAATCCAAACAAATAGAATGTAAACCTTTTTTTTATTTTGCCTTTACTAAAAGGAGAAGACGTTCGAGAAGATTCGAGACGTTCGAGAAGCGTTGAATCGTAAACGTATAATTTTCATGTAACTTATATAATTTGCGCACTAAGAAAATAGTTATAGTAATAAAAAATACAAAAAGTAAGTAATCATAATCTCATAACATCAATAATTTACAATTTTTCGTAAAATTTTAATGCAATTGTAAGTTTTTAATTGTAAGTATTTATTGGAGGACTTGAAAACTTGTGCAGAACTATAAAAGAATTCAACAAATAGTTTGTTGTTGCTTTGCAAATTAAATGTTGATAGTATAAGTTGGTTACAAATTTAATTGAAATACCGAGCCTGAGATAAATTCAACACGAATATATGTGTAAAATACATTGTCTACTCGTGTCTATTCGTGTCTATTTGGCTATTCTATTCGTATCTATTCGTGTCATATTTAGTATACTTGGTATTTGTAACCTTCAAAAAATTAACAAAAGATATTTTTTGCTTCGTTGCTAGATATTGTGCAATACAAAATAATTATAAAACGAATAGTAAAAAAAGTCACATTTCTATTATTAATTTTCTAACATGTGAAACATTTTTTATCTTGAACATGTGTTCAAACATGTTTTGTTAAAATTTATTACATATGGTCGCTATATCTGACTGACGGAAAAAATTGCTTTAAAAACATTTTTTTTCTTTTCTTTTATGTTTCTGAACAAGGACTAAAGTTTAATCTAAGAGTTTTTAACAAAGAAAGAAACAATGAAAAGACATAAAATATTGAAATTTGTTGAAAAAATATCTGTTGGAAAAGTTGTAAAGTCTGAAAAGATTGTAAAGATTTAAAAAATCGTAAAGGTGTCTTATTGCAAGGACAAAAGAGTGTTATCTTGGGCTAACACAAAAACTGTGAAAAGTAGATATGTCACGTAGAAAAATTTTCTTAAAACGTGTTACAGCATATAACAAGAGGACAACGGTTCGCTTGGAAAGAGAGTCGTCTCTTGTCCTTCCTGGTTGGATCCATCCCTTACCACGATGCAGGGTAGTCACGACTGTCCAATGATGTTCCAGTTTTCAAGGGTCCAGCACGCTCACGAACGTCTATTGGGTGCTGCAAAAATGCTTGAGTAGAAGAAGAGGTACAACGCTCATCGTGGTGGACGACGGTTGGTGAGTGGGGACCAGAGGCCCCGCGCCGCAAGAGAGGGGATATGATGGTAAGGCTTCTCCCAGTGCAACGGGCCCATTCAGTCCATCTCCTAGTTTCGGGAGTTAGACATTGCTTTTGCGAGCGCGAAACTATCCTGTGTTGTTTCCAGAAGTTCGGTAGATAACATTCGCTTTGGATAGCTCGACAGAACCGTACGAAGCGATCGACAGTCTTTTGGGAGATCACAAGCGAGACACATCGTGAAGAAGGAAGCAGAAAGGACGTTGTATTTTGCACGCGATTTTAAAGTTTCTCTTTAGTTGTGATCGGTGTTATCTGATACGTGTCATCGCGGTACGTGTCTGACAGTATCGATTCGCTGGGAATAGTTATCTCGATTATTATCGAGAAACAAAATTAAACCAGTGAATGTGCTGCAACTTCTCTGTTACCGCATCAAGGACTAGAGGACTAATTGATTGCCCATAACGAGACGCATTGGATTAAAAGCGTTATCGTATTCGGAACTCGTCCAAAATTTTGATGAACAATTGACGAGTTCCGACATAGTGTCGATGGGCAATCAGTCCTAAATGAGGACTACCCTAGCCACAAGTTCCTGATCTACAGCGGGAACAATGAACGCTGGTGAAGACATAGTGGCCGTGGCTGGGGTTTGACCAACGGACATCGGACCCCACGCGAAAGGACTAAAAATCGTCTTGTGTAAATTGTGTGGTGACACAGCGGACTGATCTCAGTCTTGTGTCACAAATAACACACAAGTGACATTAAAATAACACAAGTGATTTATCGCGTGTCAGGCGAAACTATCCAACACGTGAGTGTGATTGCGTTGGATAGATTTCCCTGTGGACTAATTCGGGGTCAGCAACGCGTCCTGCCTGAATACATCATCAGCGGTAACGTAAGTTAACTCTATATATATATTTTTTAATCAAGCCTATTTTTAATTAAGCTTATTTTCACAATTGCACAATGTATGATAATTATTGTAGAAAGCAGAGCCGTTGCACCTCTAACAAATACTAATCTATTTCCACTCGCAATTTACTTAACAATTTACATTTTGTATTTAACTCATCATGATAATTGTAAATAATAGACATAATAGTATTGGCTTTGGTAGCAACTGACTTAGTAACAGTATTGGCGTAAAATATGGGAAAAGCGGGAGCTTACAAGAAAAGCTTACAGGAGACCGAGGCTAAGTTGGTCACCGATAAGTCGGCAAAACCAGTTATTTCTAATATTTTCTAAATTACAAAATTAAACAAGCAAGATTTTTAAACATGCTAAAGATAACTTTGAAATTCCTATTCGCTTGATTCCGAAATCTGTTCAAGAATAGTAGAAATGATCGATTTTGCCAACTTCCGGTGACCAAGCAGCTCCGATCTTCTCACAAATATTAAAATGCTGGGTTCCGAGGTAGCTTGCAAATACGTAAAATTATAATTTTAATGTTTCCGTTAAGCACAGATATTTTTGAGAGTTCGCGCGCAAGACTGGTATCGCGAAAAATCCATCTTGCACCACGTGCGATACGGTAAAGTTTAGAGTATATCCTCCGTCGTGTTACTCCCACGATTTTACAATTCGACCGTTGTATTTCTTATACCACATGCGTCACTCGAATTATTACGCTTTCTAACGGTAGAACGTTGTTACTCGCGATAAGTATAATGTCCACTTGAATACGAGTATCGTACCGGCCAAGGCA